CACCGTCGCGCCTTCACAGTTCGTCGACCTCCTTCAAGCGACAGTCGTCCGTCGGCTAGCGCGTATTGCCCATTGTCCGTCGATCGCCGCCCATTGTCCATCAACAGCCGTTTGACGTTCTTTGGTAAGTCGTTCTTCACAAATTATATCAACTGAAATTGTCCTCAAAACTCATAAACTTTGATCTGGGTCTTGTTTTGCTTTGCTGGTTGATATTTAAAATATAGAACTAAATAGGATTGTAGGATGGAGATAGAATTAAAATCGAATTTGACGATGTTCATTTAAACTTTGAGGATTGTTTTGCATTTGCTTTGCTGGTTTATATAGAACTAAATATTTAAAATCAAATTTGAACCAGATTGTGTTTGCAGCCCTCTTTATGCTTTTGAGAGTTCTGTTTTCATGGGCATTTTTTTAGTTTTTTTTTTTCAAATAGTAAATAAATTAAAAACTCAAACGATGTTTTACAACCGATGATTCAACTGAACCTAGCATAACTTGCAACTACAAGCTACAACAATACCGGAACAGCATTCATTGCTGCCCGTCCACCGCAAAAGAAGCTAAACAAAAACTATCCTTACATTCTCCCGGATCAAAAACAAAATTACAGCATATACCATTTTTATCTAGCCACCAAATGTCTGAAACCAAACTCTTCCACTTAGCCTTGCAGTCCCTTTGGTTTCTCAGAATTTTAGCCACATTCAAATCTGGAGTGTAGCAAACCACATTTGTAATATTCATTGTTATCAGCTGTTGCAGCATTAATCTAATTGTCCTTAGCAAGCCTTCTGTGCTCTCCATTGCTCCAGCTTCAGTGGTGACCCACTCCCGGATTTTGTGCTTCTCTTTCACAGCCACCCCAGCTAACCCAATTATACCTCTTGCAGAGATTGAAGCACTGACAGAGCAACTAACCTGTCCTACTTCCCTGGAAAATTGCTCTACCTGAGATATTTTTGGGATTTGCTGGTGTTTTTTCAGTTCATGCACCTCTGTATTGATTGACACATACTCCATCCAATTCTCTTTAGCTTTTGCAGCTGTCATCCATTCTGTCTCCTTGATCTTGTTGAAGCACCACTCATTCCTGCTGGTCCAAATCCTCCAGAGCATAAAGGCTGTTAGACCAATCTATCTATCCTTGCATTCTCTTCTCTGATTTGACATAGGTCTATCCACCAATCTTGAAAGCTCTGTTTTTTATCTTCCTTGTGCTGCCACCACAATCCATTGAGTTTCCAACAGATCTTTGCTCTTTGACAGTAGAAGAATATGTGCTCTATGCTCTCATCATGCTAAATATTTAAACTTTGAGGATTGTTTTGCATTTGCTTTGCTGGTTTATATACAACTAAATATTTAAAAAAAAAAAAACTACGATCCTTTTAAAAACAAGGATCGTTTTTTCTTAGGTTTGAGATAAGATAATACTATTGATTTGATTTTTTGCTGTTAAGGTACTTATTCTTGAATGATCCTTGTTTTTATTGAATGATCCTTTGATCATTGGATCAGCCTGTTTTTATTCTTCCATATGAGATCAATTATTTGTGTTATGATTTTTCTTCCAATGCCTCTAGCATATGTTCGATTTGCTTTTCAGATCTTTACCTTATGGTGATTGAATTCATAAAACGATCGTAGTTTTTTTTTTCATTGTTCAATTGTAGCAAACATAAGCTGGGCATGTGTTTCGTAAAAGGATCCAAATCGTCGAAGTCTATTACTTCAGAAATTGTAACATTAGCCTTATCGCTTAAGAACCTGGTTTAATATCTAGAGTTGTGATCATTCTTTCTTTAACCAATTGGCAATAACGATTATTGAATGCATAGATGGTTCAGAGCCAAATCATATGTTTACGCCTTGACGCATTTTAGCACGGCTACTCTGTTCAAAACTGTTTACCTTGTTAGCATGCTTGATAGGGCTATGGGCCGATGTAACAACAACAGAAGACAGTGTTTTGAAAGCATCATAGGATTTTTTTTAAAAAAAAAAAAATATATTAATGTGCTGAAACACAAATCTATCTAACCTACATAGTTTTATTTTATCTTTACATTTTTACATGTTTTAAATTTAATGCTGAAATAATGTAGAATTGGTGGCTAGCTATGTGAAATGACAAAAATTGGTGTCCTTTGTTTAGCATTGTTTTTTTTTTATTTTTTTATTTTGGCACTGATAGTTGTGGGAAGAATTCGGTGACCTACTTGTAGTGCACAATAGGATGAAAAAAGCAATCAATCCTTTTATGCTGTGTAAGTGCCAATTTTATTTTTATGGCTGATAGATATTCAGTGTCTTGTCTATATTAATGTTTGTTTATTTCCTCATTTAGTGGATAATAGTGAATTTCCATTAACCATTTCTTTATCATTCAAATATAACATTTTATTGACCAAAACACTTTGGGTTTAAAATTCCATTGCTAAGATTTCTGCTAAGATTTCTAAGTGTTTAAACTTTAATGAAAAAAGCACCATCTCAGACTTTACACTTTGGGATAGAAAGCACCATCTCAAACTTGACATAATCTGCCTGGTTGCACCACTTTTGATGAAGTAGGTGAATAGTTTGTCATTTATTAAATAAGTACTTTTTGATAGCATAATTAATTTAGTTTGATTGATAGTTACGTCTTATTTGAGATATCATAGATGTTGAATTGCACTTTTTTTTTGTGCTCAAAAATCAAAATATGGCTTGTAATTGTTAAATTATAGTAGTCTTGATATAAATAGATTTTTATTTATTTATTTATTTATTTATTTATCTAAATGATATTTGTTGTGTAAAATTTATTTTGTTATGTAGTTATGGATCTTAAATGGGTTTATGCTCCCCGGACAAGTTTAGAATATGAAAATGGAGTAAATGAGTTTTTAGAGTTTGCTAGCAAGCATGATCCTGACAGTAACGGGAAGTTCTTATGTCCGTGCGTGAATTGTCTGAATGAGAGGAGATTAAGTGTTGATCAAATTCGAGAGCATGTGGTTTGTGATGGTTTCAATAAGGGTTACACCAAATGGATATGGCATGGTGAATTTGAAATGCCGAGTAGGCCAAAAATAAAATGAAGAAGTTGATGAAGATATGTATGATCGAGTGGAAGAGATGATTAATGATATTGGAGCTGAAGCCTTTGAGCAAGTATACACAAGCGGAGTGTGTGAGACCTTGTCGACGAATGCAGAAAAGCCTTTGTACAAAGACTGTGAGAACTTTTCACGTTTGTCCGCTGTGTTAAAACTAATCACATTGAAGGCTGCAAATGGGTGGAGTGATAAGAGTTTTACGGAATTGCTTGGCTTGTTAAAAAGTATGCTTCCTGAAGACAATGAATTGCCAAACTCTAATTATGAGGCAAAGAAAATTTTGTGCCCGTTGGGTTTGGGGTATAAGAAAAATCATGCATGCCCTAATGACTGTATTTTGTACAGAAATGAGTACAAAAGTCTTCATGAGTGTCCGATGTGCGGGGTTTCGCGGTACAGAAAGGAAGTTCACACAAAGTCCAATGCTCTTAAGATTACAAACAGACCACCAGCAAAAGTGTTGTGGTATCTTCCGATAATTCCACGATTCAAACGTCTTTTTGCTAGTGCAAAGGAGGCAAAGAATTTGAGATGGCATGCTGATGAGAGGATAGACGATGGTATGCTCCGACATCCCGGTGATTCCCCTCAATGGAAGAAAATAGACCACTTGTTTCCTTCCTTTGGAAATGATCCAAGAAACATTAGGCTCCCATATGGTAGCCTAAGCAGCAAGCATAGTGCATGGCCAGTTTTATTGGTTGTTTATAATCTTTCTCCCTTATTGTGTATGAAGCGGAAGTACATCATGTTGTCTATGATGATCTCGGGGCCAAAACAACCGGGAAATGACATAGACGACTATCTGCAACCATTGATTGAAGATTTGAAGATGTTATGGGAGAAAGGCGTTGATGTATTTGATGCATACAAACAAGAATCATTTAAGATGCGTGCTATGATTTTTTGCACGATAAATGATTTTCCTGCTTATGGAAATTTGTCTGTTTATAGTGTTAAAGGGCATAAAGCATGCCCAATATGTGAAGAAGGCACTTGCTTCCATCAGCTCGAACATGGGAGAAAGACGGTGTACCTTGTTAGTCGAAAGTTTTTGAAGCCGGCCCACCCATACCGTCGATTGAGAAAAGCATTTAATGGTCATACGAGTTTGAAAGTGCTCCGGATGCATTAAATGGCGAACAAGTCTTTAATAGAGTTAAAAACCTCAATGTGAGGTACGGTAAAACACAAAAGCCAGCCGAGAGAAGCTTATGGAAAAAGAGATCTATCTTTTTTGATCTTCCTTATTGGGACAAGCTCGACGTACGTCATTGTATCGATGTGATGCGCGTGGAAAAGAATGTGAGCGATAGTCTTATAAGCACACTTCTTAATATACAAGGCAAGACAAAGGATACAGTGAATGCTCGAAAAGATATGATCGCTATGGGAATACGAGGGGAGTTGGCTCCGGTGCCTCAAGGTAGGAGAACTTATCTACCTCCAGCATGTCACACACTATCAAAGAAAGAGAAACAAAGTTTTTGTGAGTGCTTACGCGGAGTGAAGGTTCCCCAAGGATATTCCTCCAATATAAAGCAGTTTGTGTCTATAAAAGAATTAAAGCTGCTTGGGTTGAAGTCTCACAACCATCACATACTAGTCCAACAACTACTTCCAGTGGCTATTAGAGGCATATTGCCAAAAAAAGTAAGATGCACTATAAGTATATTGTGTTTCTTCTTCACATCTATTTGTAGCAAGGTCATTGACCCTCGTGTGCTGGATGATTTGGAGAATGATGCTGCGATTATCTTGTCTCAACTCGAGATGTACTTTTCTCCTGCTTTTTTTGATATTATGGTACATCTAATCGTTAATCTAGTGCGAGAGATACGGTTATGCGGCCCTGTGCATTTGCGATGGATGTATCCATTTGAACGATACATGAAAATTTTGAAGGCTTATGTGAAGAACCCGCGCCGACCTGAGGCATCCATTGTTGAGAGATATGTTGCAGAAGAGGCTGTAGAATTTTGCAATGAATATTTATCACAGTCAAAATCTGTTGGCATCCCTAGTGCTCGCCACAAAGGAAAGGGGTCCGGTAAAGAGAGTGTCGGGGGACAACTTAAGAGTGTTGATCGTGAAGAAATGATACAGGCACATACATATTTTCTCAATAATACTCCTGAAGTGCATCCTTACATAGTTGCACATAAGTCACTAGTAAAGCGACAAAATCCTCGAAAACCTGAAAGGTGGTTGGTGCAAGAGCATAACAAGAAATTCTTAACGTGGTTTAAGAATCAGGTTTTAAAGGATGATACTGCTTCGGAAACAATCACGTGGTTAGCTGATGGTCCTAATTTCGATGTTAGATGTTGGCGTGGATATGACATCAATGGGTACTCTTTCTGCACGAAAGAAAGAGATGATAAGAGTACTACGCAAAATAGTGTTGTATCTGTTGTGGCCGAGTCAATGCATTTCTCTAGTTGAAAAAACAAAAATCCACTGTTAGCTGCTAGTTCTTAGTATGGTGTTATTGATGAGATATGGGAAATTAGTTACATTAAGTTTACCGTGCCCGTTTTTAAATGTAAATGGGTTGATGGTAATAATGGCGTGAGGGTAGACGAGTTGGGAGTCGTATTGGTTGATTTCAGAAGAGAGGGTTATAAAAATGAACTATTTGTCATGACATGCCAAGTAAAACAAGTCTTTTATGTTTCTGATCCGAGTGACCAACATTGGTCGGTGGTACTCCAGGGTAAACGACAACTTGTTGATGATACTGATGAGCCAAGTCTTGATATGTATGA